CATCGCGGTGGTCATGGGGCTTTGACGATCTCTGAAGCAAACACATATACGTCCTACATCAAGTGTCGTCCTCACAAACTGATCGCGAACGGAAGCATGAAATACCCATGTGACGACTTCCCCTTGAGGTGCCAAAGTGCCACGCCCGCAACACCGCAGTAATCTGGGGGGCTCCTCTGAACAAAGAGGAGACGAGGATGCAAAGCAATCGCCTCGCAGGGGACATCCCCACAATCTGGGCGTGAACGGACGAGTACAACACAGCCTGGCGGTTGCCCCGTGGGGTGCCCGAAGGCTGCGCATTATGCTACGCCAGGATGACCAGGGGGCTCCGAAAGGAGAAAAGACCGTGGTGCAAGTCAAACGCCTCGCTCGAGACATCCTCACGATCTGGCCGCGAACGGGCGAATGCAACGCCCTCTGGCGCGTCCCCCGTTGGGGCACCCAGCTGCGATGCCTGCTACTCCGCGATGATCATGGGGCCCTAAAAAGAAAAAAGCTGGGGTGCGAAACAAGCGCCTCGCTTTCGAAATCCCTATAATCTGGGTGGGAACGGGCGACTGGTGGCTCTCCCTCGGGGTGCCCGAAAGCTATACCTGCTACATCACGACCACTTGGGAGCCTGAAGTAGATGAGCCTGATGTGCAAACCAATCACCTCGCTCGAGGCACTCCCACAATCTATGCACGTGCCAGCGACGGCAACACCCCCTGGTGGCTCCCCAGTGGGGCGTTTAAGTGCCATGCCTGCCACATCACGGTGATGCTGGAGCTCTGAGAGGAGTGAGTCGGGCATGCCAGAACCAGGGTCTCGCCTAACCAAGCAAGCCTAGAGAAGGTGGTCGGGACCCCTGTCCCGAGCAGTGCCAAATGGTGGCCAGGCCCACCCGTTAGTGTGGCGACGAAGAGACCCAAATAGCAAGAAGGCAGAGAGACAGCAGCTGTTCAAGGAACCTCACCCTGGACTAGGAGGCGGCAGTCTATGTGGTGTAAGGGATTCCCAAGATCTGGCCGCGAGCGGGGCAACGTCCCCTGGCGGCTCCCCCTTGGGGTGCCCAAGTGCTACGCCTGCTGCGCTGCGATGATCGCGAGGTCCTGAAGAGGGACGGGCCGAAGGTGCAAACGAGGCCCCATCGCTCGAGCTCCCCCCAATCTGCACCCGAACGGGCGACTGCAGCACCCCCTGGCGGCTCCCCAAAAGGGGTGCCCAGAAGCTGTGCCTGCGACATCGCGGTGATCCGGGGGAGTCCGAAAGGAGAGGAGTCGGACGTGCAAAACAACCGCCTCGCAGGAGGCACCCCCACAGCCTGGGCGCGAACGGGCGAGTACAACACCCCACGGCGGCTATCCCCTCGGGGTGCCTAGATGCGACCACCGTGGGGCTCTACGCAGACAGGAGTTGGAGGAGAGTCTGACTTTGGGTGGGTCTGAGCGTGAATGGTCTGACTGTGAGTGGTCTGTGCGAGGGGGTCTAAGTATGAACGGGTATAAGTGTGACTGGATCTGAGTGTAAGCGGTCAGGGAATGAGTGCCTCTGAGTGCGAGTGAGTCTGAGCGTGAGTGGGTCTGAATGTGAGTGAGTACAGATGTAAGTCAATATGAGTGCCAATGAGTCAGAGATTGACTGAGTATGGAAGTGCGTGAATCCGAATGTGAGTGATTCTGAATGTAATTGAGTCTGAGAGTGAGCTAGAGTTCGAGAGGCAGATGGGTGAGCGAAGGAGGCGGAGGGCGACACTAATAACAAGAACCCCATACTTGGGATCTGGGGAACAATAAGAGCCCATTAGTGCAAGCACTTTCGGGGAGGAACGCGCAGCATCTGAGTGGCAGCAACTTTCTATTCTAAGACACGTCAGCGGGGGTCGAATGCGAGAGCATCGAGGTCACATGAGTGCACGAGGACGACTACAATGGCAGCATGTTCCACTGAGCACGCGGACGGCGATGGCCAGCGTAGAGCCCCCGTCAGAGACCGATGCAAACGTAATGAAATCTCTCGAGACTCATGCGCCGCGTTAACGAGAACCCAATCTCGGTCTTTCCGAACACGTTGAACATGACACCCGCGGCAGCGCCCACAGCGCGATGGCGAGCGCAACACTTCCAGCGAAAGCGCGTGGGGCTCACAAATGTGATTCCAGAAGGGGGCAAGTATTTATAGACTTCCTGCGTTCGGGACCGCGGCTGGATGTGCGCACCAAAGACGAAGCCGCAAGCCGGCGAAGATAGGGAGAAAAGGGCAGGGGAGAGGAAAGGATGGATACAGACAGACAAAGAGACAGAGAAAAGCACAGAGAGAGATGGATCGACATCGCCGTTACGGAGGCTCCTTGTTGCTTTGCCCGTGAGCCCGATGACATGCCTTGCTCGCAAACGCGATCTCCCCGCGGCAGCTGTCCCAAGGGGGCGAAGCCTCAGGAGGCGTCCAACCCCCGTTTACAACCCCAGAAACCTGGCAACACACCCTTCCAGCGTGGTCTAGGCGGGATCCCGCTTGACTGAACCGTTCTCACACATGCAACACGCAAACTCAGGAAACCCAAATTCCAATTATCAAAAAGTCGGGTGCACCTGCCTCTGGGGGTGATACAGACCCCGCCATGTGATTGCGCATCGGGGTTGTCCTGGGGTCAAGTTGAGATTATATTCGGATCATGCTGGGATCATGGAGTTGCGTTCTGGTACTGGTTCGGCCGCTGTTGGGCCGCCTGGGAGTCATCGTGCGGCAATTGCATTATGTAAGGGATCACCCGTTGCACATAGGTTGAGCCAACTTGGGGTCGCTCTACGGCCATCAAGAAGCAACGTAGCGATCATGCAGAGATCATGGGGCCCTCATGGGATCGCTCTGAGGGTATTGACAGGTCGCCTTGAGGCCGTATGATAAGGGGTGAAAAGCGGCGCAGCCTGTTGGCCCGTGCGCAACTCCGTATCCTTGCTCTAGCCTTGCCGTCGTCTTGAGAGGGACAGGCGAGGCGGTACGCCGCCGTGTGCGTTTGTCTGTGCGCCCGATGACAGACATTGCGCGCGAGCACGAGTTTCCCGCGACAGCGGCCCCGAGGGTGCGATGGCCCAGGAAGCGCTGAGCCCCCCCTCACCGGCTAGAAGCCGCTCAGAGCACCCTTCTTGCGTGGTCTGGGCGAAGTCCCGCTCGACCGAGGCATCCTCGCAAATATCGCATAGCGCAGTGCAGATATGGAAACCAGAACGCGCACCTTCAAAGCATCGGGTGCACACTAAGTCCTGGGAAACATACGGGCTCTACCATATGCTTGCGTATTCCGGGTCGTAGCGCGGTCATCTTAGAATCATATCCAGATCATATTGGGATCATGGAATTATGGTGCCGGTTCGTCGAATTTGGGACCGCCTGGGAGCCATCTCGCCTAACAGCCACGTCGGGATCAAGTAGGGACCATGGGGCCCTTGTGGGGTCGCCGTGAGGGTATTGACGGGCCGCTGTGAGGCCATATATGAATCGTCTTGCTGTCGTGGAGCCGCCTTGGTACCGCCTTGGGTCGGGTGGAGGACAGCGCTTCCAAGAGCTGCTTTGTTGCGGCCAGGTATGGAGGCGGGGAGGGGAGGTCAGACAACTGAGAGCGCGAGCCAGACACGGAGGGAGGCGGCAGGGGGACGGGAGGCGAAGGGAATGGAATACGGGGGAGGCAGGGAAGGTGGGGAACTGGGACGCGAGGGGGGCTGGGGCGGGAGGGGCAAAGGAGAATGCCAGAGCAGAGCAGAGGCCGCGGCGGGAGGACGGCGCAGACAGGGCGTGAGGGGGGGGGCGCGCGGCTTGGGGCGCTGAGCAGGGGGGGGGCGACCCGGACCACCGGAGCGCCCTGGAAACAGTTTTTTTGGTCTGCGGGTCGAGAGCGAGCCTCTTCCGGTTGAGAGCTAGGCGGGCCGCGCAAAGCACTAATTGGGGAGACAGAGCACGGGCGGGCGGGGCCTCAGGCGGCCGGAGGGCAAGCGCCCTGGAAACAGATAGTCCACCGAATCCCAGCCCGCAAAACCCCGCGGAGAGTCGCAGAGCGGCGGAGCGGCTTGCAGGTGGTCGCGAGGCGGGGGGCCAGGCGCAGACGAGCCGGGGGGGCGTCAGCAGCCCGCCTCGCCGATCCTGCCCAGGCCCGCCCAGGGCCAAGATCGGTGCGCAGGCGCCCTCCTGGCTTGGCAGGGCAGGCCAAAGATCGGCAGGGCAGCCCCAGCACGGGGTGAGGCGGGGAGCTGGCGTCCTCCAGGCTACTCCTCCTCCTCCTCCGCCTCCGCCTCCTCCTCCTCCTCCTCCTCCTCCTCATCCGCCTCCTCCCTTCCTCCTCCTCCTCCTCCTCCTCCTCCTCCGCTCCTCCTCCCCTCCTCCTCCTCCTCCCCTCCTCCTCCTGCTCTCCTCCTCCTCCTGCTCCCTCCTCCTCCTCCTTCATCCTCCTCCTCTCCTACTCCTCTCCTCCTCCTCCTCCTCCCTCCTCCCTCCCCTCCCCCTCTCCCTCCTCCTCCTCCTCCTCCTCCTCCTCCTCCTCCTCCTCCTCCTCCTCCTCCTCCTCCTCCTCCTCCTCCCTCCTCCTCCTCCTCCTCCTCCTCCTCCTCCTCCTCCTCTCCTCCTCCTCCTCCCCCTCCTCCTCCTCACTTCCTCCCTTCCTCCCTCCTCCTCCCTCCTCCTCCTCCTCCTCCTCCCTCCCTCCTCCTCCTCCCCCCTCCTCCCTCCTCCTCCTCCTCCTCCTCCTCCTCCTCCCCTCCTCCTCCTCCTCCTCCTCCTCCCTCCTCCTCCTCCTCCTCCTCCTCCATCTCTCCATCCTCCTCCTCCTCCTCCCCCTCCTCCTCCTCCTCCTCCTCCTCCTCTCCTCCTCCTCCTCCTCTCCGCTCTCGCCTCTCCTCCTCCTCCATCCTCCTCCTCCTCTCCTCTCCTCCTCCTCCTCCTCCTCCTCCTCCTCCCCTCCTCCTCCTCCTCCTCCTCGAGAGAACGGACACGGATGGCTTTTGTTCCGAGGCGCCGTGCAGCCAGGCGCGCGGGCCGCGCGGGGACAGGAAGCGCTCCCCGCGGGCGACAGGGGGCAGGCGCGGGCGCCCGGCCGAGACGCGGCGGCCACCCCGCCCCCAGAGAGGGGGGGGGCCGCGGACCGGCAGGGCGCGCGGACGCGCGGCCCACGGCTCGGGGCTGGCCTGCTCGGGCCCGGAGCGCCCGGAGCAGAGGCGGTACAAGGCAGAGTGCCCACGGGCGGAAGCAGATCGGAGCCAGAAGCGGCGGTTCGGCCCCGATCGAGCTCCGAAGCCGCTTCCGTCCGCGCGCCCCCGCGCGCCTCCACCCCCGTTTCCCTCCCCTGCCTCTCCCAGCAAAGCAGCCGTGCAACAAATCAGAGTGCGGGGGCAAAACGGTCTTGCACCATCCCTGGGTGCGTACCTCAAGTGCGATTCCGCGATAAGGATGATTGTTGTTGTTGCTGCTGCTGGTATTGTTGCTGCTGTTGTTGTCGTCGTTTTTGTGGATGAAATTTCAGTTCTAAAGAACTATATATATATATACACAACTGCAGCGGCGCTTCGCGGCACGCACCTTGGTCCTCGAAGTTTGGTATGCAGGCGGAATGGCAGGAAGGTCAAGCCGACAATTTAGTGATACCTCCTCGTTGCCTTTTCCGGCATCGCCGTTGTAGTAATGTTATTCGTTATCCTTCTTCCATGCTTCTTTTTCCTCATTCTCGCCATACCCTGCGCTTGCTCCCCATCCTCCTCAGCTCTTTTTGCCGAGGCTCCTCCTTGGAGAGCCTGTAGGTGCCTCACAAAAGTTGTTGAAGCTTTCTTGAGGCCTTCTGGAGGCCTCCTAGGCGTGTTCTGGGGACCTCTGGAGGCTTCCTCGGGCCACTCTGCCTCCAACCGCGGTCTCCCTGAACGACCGGATCACGATTTGGAATGCTTCGGTGTGTCTTGGGGCCATCTTGGGCCGCCATGGGGCTCTCTCAGGGCCATCTTGGACCCCTGTTGTGCCGTTTAGGGGCTCTCTTGGACTGCCTGGAAGCCCTTTCAGATGGTTGTGGGGCGATTTGGGAGCCTCCCAGGCGGCTTCGGACGCCCAGAAGACCGCCGTCTTGGAGCGTCGGGATGCCGGAACGAGGAAAACCCCAAAATTCACCGAAAAACCCTCAGAAAATCAATGATGTTTGCCTCTCGGGGCCTTCTTGGGAGTGCTCTTGGGGGCCTCTTTGGGGGTATGACGGCTTCTTGCGGGTCGTCGTGGACCGCATTGGGGCTCTTTGGTATCGTTTCGGGAGCGCGCCAGAACGCCTGGAACCCGTCTGGGGCCGTCTTCGGGCTATCGTGAGGTTCTCCCGGGTCGTCTGAAGGGTTGCCTGGAGGCCCGGGGAGGGCCAAATTCGTTCGGGGGGGAAGGGCAAGCGTTTTTCCTAGCGTCCCCAGCCCTATAGAAATATATGAATAAGAGCACATACAAATGCATTCATATACATGTATTGCTGATCCCCCCTGCCCCCGGTGACTATATGTTTCAATTGAAATGCTTATCTTGGGGCTCCCACCCTGTTTTTGCAAGAAAAAATGAGGTGTCACCAAGCTGCGCCCCTGGCCCCAGACTGACAACAACAACAGCAACAACTGCAACAACTGCAACAACAACAACAACAACAACAACAACAACAACAACAACAACAACAACAACAATCACCCTAAGACTGTCGCTCCTATCTGCTCACGTGCCAATCAATACGTATATCCCAAACCTTCGGTACTCGCCCTCGTCGTTTTCGATCGTACCCACTTGGGGGCATATCTTCCTTAACTGCCACGTGCATGTAGTGCAGCCCCTAATGCAGGGGAAGAGAGGGCGGGTGGAAGGGGGAGGGAGAAGAATAGAGCACGAGAGAAATTAGCAGGAGGGGGGCTAGGAGCAGAAAACAAGTGGTAGTGCAAATCGGGCGGGCAGACCCATAGCAGGCAAGTCGGAAGGCGGGCCCAGGCGACCAGGTCGAGCAGGCTGGTTGCTGAAGCGTGGGTCCTTCATGAATCGCGAGGAAGTCTCGAGCAATAGCGCGATTCCCAAACAAATCGCGAGAAAAGCCAAAGCGATAGCGTAATTCCTGAGCGCCGAGGACGCATCGTCTGAATAAATGCGAGGACGTCCCACGCGAGAGCGCCATTCGTATACAGATTGTGAGGGAGTCCCGCGCGAGAGCGCGATTTGGGAATGATTGGTCGTGATTTATCAGGCGGGAGCCGTTGTTGTTGTATACCAGGGGCCAGGGGCACAATTTGAGCCGAGTGATTTTCCCTGATAAAAAAACAAGCGCGAGCCCTGGGGGAAGCATTTCAATTGAAAAATACAACGGTCACCGGAGGGGGATCAATAATACTAGTCTTCAGCGATGAGAGCTCAACAACAGCAACAACAACAACAAACAATAGTTTACCCTCATGCGCGATGTTTCCACACGAAGCATGCGACCATCATGATAACCATCCACATCATGGGGGACTCTTGTTCTATAGCGGGGTCCGTTATTCCCATTCCCTGATCTCCCGCCCAATAAAGTCTTGCAAACACCTCCTCCGAGAAATTTCAACATATCCCGCCTCGAAAACACATGCCCGCGCCTTGCTGCGCCGATGCGAGACCGCCAGTGGAACCCCAGCGAAGGGTAAAGCACAAGGAAGTATCGAACGACAGGATTGCCTTGGTGGGGATGGGGGCTGTCGGCTGTGAGGCAAGGACATGGCCCTGAATAAAAAGGGAGAAAGTCTCGAGCAGGAACGTTGTTCTTGCTGGGAGCGACGCCAATGCTGAAGAGAGTAGGGCGCTAGTCCAGCGTAAAACAAAACGAAGTCTCGAGCGGGAACGCTGGTTTTGTTGGGACGGCGGCTTTCGGCGGCGAGGGGGAACACCGCCTTGAATAAGAAAGGAGGAAGCATCGAGCGGGAGCCGTGGTTTTGTCGGGACGGGGGCTGTCGGCGGCGAGGAACAGCACTGCCCCGAGGAAAAAGAAAGGAAATCTCGAGCGGGAACGTTGTTCTTGCTGGGAGCGGCGCCAATGCTGAAGAGAGTAGGGCGCTAGTCCAGCGTAAAACAAAACGAAGTCTCGAGCGGGAACGCTGGTTTTGTCGGGGCGGCGGCTTTCGGCGGCGAGGAGGAACACCGCCTTGAGCAAGAAAGGAGGAAGCATCGAGCGGGAGCCGTGGTTTTGTCGGGACGGGGGCTGTCGGCGGCGAGGAACAGCACCTTCTTCAGGAAAAAGGGAGGAAGCCTCGAGCGGGAGCGTTGTTCTTGCCGGGAGAGGCGCCAATTCAAAAGAGAGTAGGGCGCCAGTCCAGCAAAAACGGAAGTCTCGGGTGGGAGCGCTGGTTTTGTCGGGGCCGCGGTTTTCGGCGGCGAGGAAGAGCACCGCCTCAAGTAAAAAAGAAAGGAAGCCTCAAGCGGAAGCGTTGTTTTTGCTGGGGGCGGCGCCGATGAGAGAAAGACTAGCGCGCCAGTCCAAGGTAAAACGGGAGGAAGTCTCGAGCAGGAACGCTGGTTTTGCGAGGACGGCGGCTTTCGGCGGCGAGCTAGAACACCAGCCCTGAGCAAAAAACGGAGGAAGTCTCGAGCGCGAGCTTTGTTGTTGTTGGGGGGCTGGTGTTGGCGGTCCCCCAAGCCGTTCGAGCGTGAGCCTCATTTTCGATGAAAATGTAGCCGGCGCCTCGGCGAGAGCGCCAGGGCGCCTTTAAGGGATCCAACAATAATAACTGTCAAGAATTCTCAACAACAGCAACAACAACAACAACAACAACAACAACAACAACAATAACAATAGCAACAACAACAACAACAACAACAACAACAACCACAACCACAACCACAACCACAACCACAACCACAACCACAACCACAACCACAACCACAACCACAACCACAACCACAACCACAACCACAACCACAACCACGACCACGACAACAACAACGACCACAACGACGACGACGACGACGACGACGACGACAACAACAACAGCAATCATTTTAAGACTGTTCGCTCTTATCTGCTCGAGTGTCCGTTAACGCGTACTTCCCAAGCCCTCGATACCCGCCCTCTTCGTCTTGGATCGTTCCCCTTTTGGGGGGTATACCTTTCTTCCCTGCAGGCCGAGCCCTGGCCAGCGGCGGGGCGGCCGCGGACCGTCGGCCTGGCCAGCGGCAGCGCTGATCGGCGGCAACTCGACCCCAAGAAGGACGGACAGGGGACCGACCACGACGACGACGTCGACGTCAACGTCGACGTCGACGACGACGACGACGACGACGACGACGACGACGACGACGGCGACGACGACGACGACGACGACGACGAGCGAAATCGAGAGCGAGAGAGTGCGAACGACAGCAGGGCCACGAAGGGCACGAAGTAGGCCACGAAGGGCGACAGCGGCGACACGAAGGGAATGCGTACGGGGCCACGGAGAGCGCGAACGAGCGGGGGCCACGAAGGGCAGACAATGCGAACCCACAGAAGGCAACGACGGGGCCACTGAGGGTAGCAACTGGGCCACGTAGGACAGCGAGGGGGGCCACAAAGGGCGACAGCGGGGCCACGAAGGGCATGCACATGGGGCCACGACGGGCGCGAACGAGCGGGGGCCACGAAGGGCATACGTATATTGGGCCGCGGAGGGCAAGGACGGGGCCACTGAGGGTAGCAACGGGGCCACGACTGGCGACAGCGGGGCCACGAAAGGCATACATATATATATGGGGCCACGACGGGCGCGAACGAGCGGGGGCCACGAGGGGCATACATATATGGGGCCACGAAAGGCATCGAGGGGGCCACGAAGGGCTGCAGCGGGCCCACGAAGGGCAGCGACGGGGCCACGAAGGGCAGCAACGGGGCCACGAAGGGCAGCGTGGGGGTCACGAGAGACTGCGGCGCCACGAAGGGCAGCGAGGGGGCCAGGAAGGGCTGCAACGGGGCCACGAAGGGCTGCAACGGGGCCACGACGGGCTTTAACGAGGCCACAAAAGGCAGCGAGGGGGCCACGAAGGGCTGCAACGGGGCCACAAATGGCAGCGAGGGGGCCACGAAGGGCTGCAACGGGGCCACGAAACAAAGCCAAGGCGAGGGGGCCACGAAGGGTTTCAACGGGGCCACGAAACAAAGCCAAGGCGAGGGGGCCACGAAGGGCTGCAACGGGGCCACGAAGGGCAGCGAGGGGGCCACGAAGGGCTGCAACG